CTGGGGGGGAGGGGAGGGGGGGGGGGGTTAGCTTCTCAGCGTGCAGGTCGGTCCGCGGACGGCAAGGCAAGGCCGGGAACAGCTGCGGCAACACGGGATCACAATAATAATCTAAGATAATAACAGTGCAGGCAATTAATATGAAATATTAATAATTGTTGTAGCAATAACCGTAGCAACGATCATTATACAAATGAACAAAAAGTACATCATTATCTAAAAATAATGAAATTAAATTGCACTTATCATTATTGTGTGACAACTGCAGCTGATAAAACCTGAAGCAAAAATTAACATAAACACGCCTCCAAACTTACAAAGAAACTCGACAGCAACAAACACGATACTGCTACAAGATCTACTATAAGTACTATTATCATTAATATTAATACAATTATTATCATTGCTACTATTACAATTAGTATCATTACTACTAATAATAATAATAACATCACTACTACTAGTATTACTACTATTAAGATTACTACTACTAACATTACTATTACTATTACTATTTGTTACTCCTACTAGTACTAATACTATCAACATTATTCTTAATACTATTGCTATTAATATTAATATTACTACTACTACTACTAATACTGTTACTATTACTATTAACATTACTATCATTTCTATTACTACTACTATGACTATTATTAACATTACTATTAATACTATTACTACTCATATCACTACTACTGCTACTATTAAGATTACTATTACTACTACTACTAATAATAATAATATTAACATTACTATTACTACTACTACTACTATTAACATTACTATTGGTATTACTACTACTTTTAACATTACTATTACTACTACTAGCAATAACAGTAATATAAGGCGATGATGATGACCGATGATGATGACATAAGATGAAAAATAAAGCAAAGTGTCCGCATCAACGCCGCTCGTCTACCCCGCAGCGCAAGCAAACCCCTAAAAAGTCTCACGCAAACCCGCGCGTCGGCAGCCGCGCCCGAGAAAGAAAGCGCGGGCCGAGTCTCGCGCGCGGATTCAAACACGGAAAGGGAACCGTCTGAGAGGCCGACGGACGCCCCCGAGAGAAGGGGGCGTCCGGCAGTCACGACTAAACGCCCCTTCATCCCCTTCCGGCCACGCCCCTTCGCAGGGCCGCCTCGCCCCCTACCCCTCCCCCCCTTCCTTCCTTCCTTCCTTCCTAGCTTCAAATCTTGGAGCGCGGAGTACTTCTCTCAACAATACGCGAAGTTGAGGGAATTAATTAAAGGCAAGTTCCTCCGGCTCCTTGCCCCCTGAGAAAGGAGCAGCAAAGTGCGTCCGCGCGAGCGCTCTCGAGATACCAACCAGATTGCAAGAACTTGTTCCGAGACTGCAAGAAAGGCCCGGGGAGAACGGGTCGGCGGGCGTAGGGGCGCATGCAGACGGCGGGCGCGTAGGAGCGAGACGACGCGGGTACGCTTGCGCACAAGAGACGCGTCCCCAAAAGTAATATTCAGACGAGATAAGTGGCAACAAACGATCAGTATCCACATGTGTACGATAATACGGGTAAGAAAAGGGTAATAATAATTTGAAGAAAAATATAAAAGAGGAATTGGAAAAAGGTAATAATCAGAAATAGATTTGAGGAAATATATAAAAGAGGAATTGGAACAGGGTAAGGAAGGCAAAGAGAGATAATGAGAACAATTGGCGTGAAGGAGAAAAGGGCGAAGGAGACGCGAAAAGATAAGGAGGAGGAAGAGTAGTAGTAGTAGGATGAGGAGTGGAGAGGAGGAGGACGAGATGATGATGATAATGAGGATGAGGTGGAGAAGGAGCAGGAAGGAAGGAAGGAGGACCAAGAGGAGGCCCAGGAGAAGAACAGGAAAGGGGGAGAGGAGGGGGGGGGGCATCCAGACAAGGCCACGCGCGACCACAAGCTGGGTTAAGTCGGGGTCAAGTCGTCTCGGCAGAAAAAGTGGTTTTCCGCCAGCAAACACGGCTCGGAGGTTCCCTGCGTGTGATCGTGGCACTGCCGGCATTCCCAGCCTCGGGCGTGACACCCTGGCATCGTCTCGGGCATCTGCTCTCCGTCCCCCATCTCCGGAGGCATTTCTGTCTGCGTCCATTTCCCCCGTTCGATTCGGTCTGCACGGCTCGCCGGCATACGAACGCCGCTCGACGAGTCCGTGGCTGCGTCTGCCATTCTGATCATTTCGCGCGACGATCCAAGTCTCGGTCCGTCTTTCTTAGGTCTATCCCTGTCCGCCTTTCAAATGCCATCCATCTATCGCTCTCGTCAATCTGTCGATTCAAGACTCCGGCCAAATTGCAAACCCACATTCCCGCGCACAAATAGACGCGGTACCTCTTTATAACGGTACAGGCAGGTCTGTCTGCTCCCCCACCCCTCCCCCTCCCTTCCGCCTCTTTCGCCGCCGCCACCGTCGCCGTCTCCTCATCCTCCGCCTTTCGATCTGTTTCTTCTATTCCTTTTTCTTCGCCGGTCGTCGTTTTCTCTCCCCCCCTCCCTCCCTCTCCCCCCCCATTTATTTCCTTCCTTCCTTTCTCCTTTCCTCCCCCTCTCTCCCCCACCTCTCTCTCCCTTCTCCCCCTCTCTTTCTCCCTTCTCCCCCACCTCTCTCTGTCTCTGTCCCTCTCTCTCCCTTCCTCTTCCTTCTTCTTTTCTTCTTGCGCCCTCGTCATTCTTCAAACAAACGAGAGTATAACGGTGTTACAGCCACAGCAACTCTGTGAGTGACTAGCAGGTGGTGGTCTGGGAGGGCATGGGAAGGGGAGAGGAGAGGGCGAAGGGGGAGGTGGGATAGAGGAGAAGGAGAGAAGAAGGAAGAGAGGAGATGGAAGAGGAAAGGAGAAGAGGGGAGGGGTGGGGGTGAGGAGAAGGAAGAAAAGGAGGAGGGGGGTTGGTGAGAAGAAGGAAAAAAAGAAGGAAGAGGAATAGAAAATGGAGGAGGAACAGACAGAAGAGAGGGAGGGGGAGAGGGGGGGGTTGGACGAGATGAAAAGGAAGAGAAGGGAGAAAAGGAGGAGGAACAGGAAGAAGGGGGAGGAGGAGGTGGAGCTGATAGAGAGAAAGGGCAGGTTATCTGTCGGAATCTGCTACGACATTATGGGATCTGGCCGAGCCATTCCCCCGGTCTCTGGCTGTGTGTCCGTGTGCGCGAATCCGTGTCTGTGTTACTGTCTGTCTGTCTGCGTTGGTAATGCCGCTCTGTTAAATAATTTGTTTTCATACTTATAAACAGCTTGGGTTGACTAACAGATACTGAGGGGGACGGGGGACAGGGGCCGAGGGAGAGGGAGAGGGAGGAAGGGAGGAAGGGAAGAAAGGAAAGAGGGAGAGGAGAGGGGAGTGAGGGAGAGGAGAGAGAGGGGGAGTGAGAGAGAGAGAGGGGGGGGAGTGAGAGAGAGAGAGAGAGAAGAGAGAGAGAGAGAGGGGAGGAGAGAGGAGAGAGGGGGGGGGGAGAGAGAGAGAGGGGGAGTGAGAGAGAGAGAGAGAGAGGAGAGAGAGAGAGAGAGAGAGAGAGAGAGAGAGAGAGAGAAGAGAGAGAGAGAGAGAGAGAGAGAGAGAGAGAGAGAGAGAGAGAGAGAGAGAGAGAGAGAGAGAGAGAGAGAGAGAGAGAGAGAGAGAGAGAGAGAGAGAAGAAAGAATTAGAGAAAGAGACAAACGAAAGAATGAGAGATAGAGATAGACAGATAGAGAGAGAACGAGTGGTCAGTGAAAATTCAAGGTCAACAGGACAGGCGGTACCTGGCCGGGCGCGCTGGAGAGGAGAAGGAAGGGGGGGAGGGTTATGGCGCCTTTGGTTCTGTATTTCATCATTCTCTCTCTCTCCTTGCCTTCCCTATCCCGCCCCTCTCTCTCTCATTTTCCATGTTCCCCTTTCTCTCCTTGCCTTCCCTGTCTGTCTGTCTGTCTATCTGTCTGTCTGTCTGTCTCTCTTTCTCTCTCTCTCTCCCTCTCTCTCCTTGTCTTCCACGTTCCCTTCTTTCTCTCTCCTTTCGCCCTCTGTGCCTTCTCCTCTTATCTCCGTCTGCCTCTTCCAACTCTTCACCAACCCGCTCTTCCCTTTACTCTCTCTTCTTACCACTTCGTTCTCTTTCTCTCTTCTCCCTACCTTTAGAAAGTTTATTTGTAAATCAAATTACTATCATTATCATTGAAATTTGCCGTCGTCACAAGCCCTAATGCTGATTATCATTCTTGCACATTCTTGTTATCAATATCCCACATGTCTTCTACTTCTTCTTTTACATATTCTTCATCACTAATACCCACGCCATCTTCCTCACCTTCACGATCATGATCATCACCATCAACATGATCAAGATGATGATCACCCCCCCCCCTCTGACAAGCCTTGCAACGACCCAAAGCGACGACGACAGATGACAGAACGACCAATAGGTGAAGGGGTGAAGGGGATTGGGAGGGGGGAGGGGGAGGGGGAGGGGGGAGAAGAGGGGCGGAGGGGCGGAGGGGGTAGGCTCGGAGGCGATGGCAGCTCTGGCAGGCACCAAGGTCAACGACCCCCCTTCTACCTCCCCCACCCCTTCTCCAACCCCTAGCCTCTCAAAAAAAAAAAAAAAAAAGGGAAAATCTGGCCACGTCCTCTGACCTTGACGTGTGGGGTAGGGTGTAGGATGAGGGGAAGTGAGCTCAAATAGCATTTTCTTTATTCTGAGGATGAACGAAGTGTCCAAACAGAAAGGCATGTTAAAATATTTGGCGAAATAAAGATCGATCAGCTGGGCTTTAACGATATTCTAGGTGGAGAGTGAGGGGTCCCCAGCCAGGGACGGGGGGAGGGGGAAGAAGAGGCTGGTGGGGGAGTGGAAGAGGAGGATTAGCACCCCCTTCCCCCTCATCACCACACCTGTTGGATCACCTGGCCAAGACTCGCCTCCGGGCTGATCTCAGGCGGTCATTGAGTGTGTTCGTGTGTGCGTGCGGCAGAGTGAGGTTTCGTAGCGGATTCCGCGGCAGCTCTCGGACCGGACCGTTC